TAACACAGGGGTAGCTCTGGTTCGGAGAGGTAGGACCACTGCAGGAGGAAGGGTAAGGTTTTGGCTCTTGGCTCTGACCTCTTGGCTTTCTTCTTTGCATTGGTTCTGTGTTTATTGTTTGATGGGAAGGTTGGATACATCTACATATGGGGGCCGTTCTCAGTCAAGCCACAACACCTAACTGCTACCTACTATGGGCAAATTACTGAGTTGCCTTTCCAATCTATTATTAAAAGCCTAATATGGAAATTTGGGCCCTCTGTGTATTCAATGTAAAATCTAACAGTCTAACTATATTCTACCGTAACAGGACTTGTACAAATTCTTCCAGTGAAACAGAGAATGTACAACTCGAGACCAGTAGGACATGGCACACAGTGCTGTACCAGCTTCTGGAGCAACTATTCCTTCCCAACAACAGACTTTCACTAAGTCCCAAAGATTTTGTCTCAAAGACTCCAAACAGCATCAGCCTCAGATGCTGAAGCATTGCCACTTCCTCCCACACTACCACAAATCTCAGCTTAGAAAATGACAAATGGAAACTGTACAGTGGACACAGTAAGCCAGTGAATTCTCAAAATTGCTCTCCTGTCTCCCTAACCAAAAGTTAGTCACTGAGTCATAATCTCTGCAGGTGTATTCAACTCATGGTCCACAGGCTTATAAGTACCCTAGAACAGCCATGAATGAAGCCCAATACAAAGGTGTGAACTTGCTTAACTTTTTCATTCAGGATTGCACCTCTCAGGTGTGAATTTTGTAGATGGCAAGTTTGAATGACAATGTAAAATGATTGGGCATATCTGCTACAGCAATAGTCAAGTGATAACTAGGAGTTTATGAAGCTGCCAGGCAAGTGATAGTGAGTGGTAGCTAAGTTAAAGAGCTATCATAAATCACATATTAAGAAACAAAAGATGTCACAGCCAAAAGCTGTCAGGAAGACCACAGAAATCCACAGGAATCTGGCAGTGCCAGGAAGTCATTTTTATCTTTTTTTATCATTATGCTAAGTTTATATACCCTTCTTCTTACACAGCACTAGTTAACATTTATGGTGACATTCAGTGACAGTGGACAATTCTCGGCTCTGTTCGTTGTTGTTGAGGCAAATGGGCACACTATCAGATTATGCTAACAGAAAAAAAGAGGCATTTATGGAATGGCATATGTCATATACATGCAAGTCTTCAATCAATAACAGATAAAAATAAATTAGATTTTATATTGATAATAATTTTACACGGTTAACATTTATTGAAGCATTTTGCACACCTATCTTTATCTCATCCCCACTGTCATGGTTAATCTTCATTATCTACTTGATGGAATTTAGAATTTAGATGTGTAGGCACATCTGGACTTGCCTGTGAGTTTCCAAAGAGGTTTAACTAAGCAGAGAAGCACCACTCAAAATGTGTACAGCAACATCCCATGGTCTAAAGTCCTGACCTAAATAAAAAGGAGGAATGGAGAAAGCCAAATACGCACCACAAATCTCCTTTCTTTGCTGCCTGATTGTTGGTGCAATGTGACCAGCAGTATGCTAATGCCATGCCTAGACTGCCACAAAGACTATATGTCCTCAAACACCGAGCCAAAATAAACCTTGCTTCCCTTTATATCACAGCTCTAAAAAGTAACTGATAGACCCATTTTACAGATTAAAAAAATAACATTCAAAGAGGTGAAATTGCTTGCCCAAGTTACACACCAAATAAGTTGTAGACCTGCAAGTCAAACTTAGGCTGTCTACCTCCAGAGCCATTGATAATCTTAGTAAGTCATGCTCTTGGAGCAGGACAGACCTGCGTAAGTAGAATGAAATCCAATCAAATTGGAAATAACTCAAATACAAGTATCTACCTCACTAGGTACACAACCACATTTAATAAAATACTCATCAATGTTATTAACCCAAAGGTATTTATCATGATACTATTTAAAATAGTAAAAACCATAAATAAGGTGAATCCTCAAAAGTAGTGAAATTATATTAAATTTATAATAAACTATAAATATATCAAATATATATAAAATATAATAATGCTGATATATCTATTATTCTCATTTAGTAAACATGTGTTCAGCAGTTACTACATGCTTAGCATTCTTTTATGTGTTGGCAAAATAGCAGTTAATGAAACAATGTCCTTGCTTTCTCATGAAACTTAGGAAGAAATTTCAACATCATGGAAAATTTGTTGTATAAGATTTTAAGTAAATATAAAATGTTATGATTTGAGCCTACTCAAAAATATGTACACACACACACACACATACACGCTTATTTGAGACAGGATCGATATAGCTCTGTAGATGTAATTCTAAACGGTCTTATTAAATAAGAACCACAGAGCCAAATAAAGAGTTAAAAGCCCAGAGATCAAGCAGTAGCCAAGAGCTAAGACCACCTTCTTACCACTTGCTTGCCATCCTTCCCCTGAGAGACCTTCTTCCTCTGTCCTGTCTTTTTATTGCCTTTCTGTTCTGCCTTCTCACTGGTTCTAAACCCAACCACATGACTTCCTCATCACTGCCTGTCTATACAGACCTCCAGGTCTCTATGGTTTGTACTGAGATTAAAGGTTTGGGTCACTGCTTGGCTGTGTTCTTGAATACACAGAGATTCTGCCAGCCATGTGATCGGATTAAGGGCATGTGCCACCACTGCCAGACTTCTGCTAAATGGCTTGCTCTTAGCTCTGATCTCCAGGCAACTTTATTAACATACAAATAAAATCACATTTCAGCATAAATAAAATATCACCATATTTCCCCTTCTATTCTAATAAAAAGAAAAAAGGAAAAAAGTTATAACTAATATAAGAAAAACTATATACAATAAGTACAATAACTATATACAATATATACACGTGCCGGGCGGTGGTGGCGCACGCCTTTAATCCCAGCACTTGGGAGGCAGACCCAGGCGGATCTCTGTGAGTTTGAGGCCAGCTGGGCTACCAAGTGAGTTCCAGGAAAGACACAAAGCTACACAGAGAAATCCTGTCTCGAAAAAAAAAAAACCAAAAAAATTTATATATATATGCAATAACTACCTAAACAATGTCTAGTCCATTTGCATTTGACAAATTCAAATTCAGAGAAAATAATTCCATTAACTATCCTATTTTCGTAAGTCCAAAATGTACCTGATTCGCTTTCTATCCTAACTTAAATTACTAACAGAACTATCTTATAATATCTTTCAAATTTACACACTTACACCTCTTTAGTGAGTTTCTTTTCTGAAATTCTTAACAAGGAAAACTATAACTATAACTATCTAAACTTTAACTGTAACTATAACTGTCTAATCTTCAACTCCCTCATAGCTCAGGCTGGACTCAAACTGCAACAGAGGATAATTTTGAACTTCTGATGTTCCTGCTTCTGCCTTCCAAGTGCTGAGATTATAGGTGTGTGCAACCACATTCAATTTTATGCAGTGCTAGAATCAAATCCAGAGCTTCTTGAATACCTGACAAGTACTCTACCAACTGAGCTATATCCCCAGTTTAAATTTTATATTCATTAAGAAGTCATTTCCATGCAAAGAAAACGGATATATGAACCAGTCATGGTGACATATGCCTTCAATCCCAGCACTTGAGAGGCTGAGACAGGACAATTAAGGGGTCAAAGCCAGAGACTAGAGAGATGGCTCAGTAGTTAATACCAGGTACTGTTCTTGCAAAAGACCTGACTTTGGTTCCCAGGACCCATGTCAGATGGCTCACAACCACCTCCAGCTGCTGGGGATCTGGCTCTCTGGCCTCTTCTGGAACTGCACTCACCTGCCCATACCTACATACAGAGACATACTGAAATATGTAATTGAAAACAAAATAACTCTTTTTTTAAAGTTCACTGCCAGCCTGGGACATACAAAAACCTTGTCTCAAGAAAATAAAGAAAAAAAGAAGAGAAAAATTTTTAAATAAAATAGTAAGTATACAAGAAAATATTCAAAAGTTAAATACCAGTGTGTCCAATATGCTGCTAACTATGCATGAATAGTATCATAAGTAATTGCATCATTTTTATATTTATACATCATTCAAATTAGCTATAATGAGATTTTATAGTAATGTTTTATATTTTAATCTTTGAGATTATAAAATGTAACTGCATATATCACTTCTTTTTACTAACAGTATTATCACTCATAACAGCTGTGTGGTTCATTGTTTTCATCTAGGAAATTTTTCTTTTAATATAGGGTCTCACTAGGTCTCACTTTGTAGCTTTGGCTGGCCTGGAGCTCACTATATACACCAAGCTTGCATTGAATTCAAAGAAATCCATGTGCTTCTGGCCTGGATGCCAAGATTAAAGACTTGCACCACCATGGCCAGCCCAGCAAATAATGTATGCTTAACTCAAGGGTCAGCAAACTCAATCTAGTCAGAATGTAAAATTAATATCTTAAATTTAGAGAGCCATCGGTCACATTACTACTATCCAATGCTGTTCTGCCAAACAAAACACCCATAGACAAGACAACTTAGAGAGTGTGGCTAGGACCCAATAAAATTTACATACAAAAAGAGGTAGGCACAAGAGACATAGTTTACTGGTCCTTGCTTTATTTACCTTCATCAGAATAAAAATAAACACTTCCACTGTTCAATGTCCTCTGTAATAACTTTCAGAGAGTTACTAACTGTAACTGCAGAAGACGAGAATGAGACTCAAATGGAAATAACTTGTCCAACATCTCATGGTTAACTTATTAGATGATTTAAAGAAAAATCTCCCTTCAGTCTAGCCACAGTGGAGGTTCGGGAGATCTCTTCTCTGCTTCGGCATGAGGAGGAAATGGTAGTAAAAGGGATGTTTTCTTAACATTCTTAAGCAGCCTCCCAGGGCCATGCACTAGATCAAAAGGGATGAGGAGGTCCCTGTGCTGCTCTGTATCCAGAACAGAAGGCAATTCTGTGGAGTCTGGATGGCTTCCTGAGTTGTATGTCCACACGCTGCTGAAGACTTACCAATATTAATCTCATCATCAGTCAGAGTGTCCCCGATGAAATCAAACTGAAACGACTGCAGTGTCTGGGAAAATTTCTGAACCGCAGAAGAGTAATCTGCAAAGAAAGAGGACAGTAGAGGTGGTCAACACTGCTATCCTCTCACCAAGTTCCTCCTCACAGTTACACCACACAGGAAATCCAAAGGGATATAAGCCAAGCAGCAACTTGTATTTGAGGAAGTTAAGAACTTTTAATCAGTACTTACTTTCAGAAGAAAAGTCTGAACAAATGAAGCAGCCATTTAAAAGTGTTGAACATTTTGCAGCATATTTTCATCCTCAATCCCTCTCCTCTCTGACTTGAAACCACTTAATTGAACTCTCTATTACACACAATAGGCAAATATTTTCTCATCTTGCATACAACAATATCAACAACCATCCTACAAAGAAACAATTAGTTCTACTTTCTATGTGTGGAACTCAAAATTCAAGACTCATCTAACAAAGCTGGGTCTAGAAGCCAGCTGATCTACCTGACTTTCCATAGCCCATCCCGTGACAACAGGGGTACCACCTGGGAATTTTATACACTAATCAGATGGTCGCTTGGAATAGGATACTGTAAAGCAGAATCCACAGTGTATTTATGAAGGGCTTAAACCCAAACAAGTAATGAATTAAAAAAGTCACTGTGATTATATGGCCAGACGAATGCTTTTATTTTGTCAATGACTTTCACTATGCATTTTCAAATATTCAATGATGGTGAAAAATGAAATCACATTAATGTACACATAATATACACAATATAAATGATTTTGTGCCAACTTTTAAAATGTGACTTTCAGCAAGGGATTCAGCTAACCTCTTGATCCTTGCTACTCCTAAAGTGAGTCTCAGATCTGCTGTTATCTGGGAGCTTGAAGGAAATGCACATGGCCATGCCCAACTCTAGACCTACTAAATCAGGTATTACATTAACATTCTTGAAATTTTGACAGCAATTATCACACCAACTAAGCAGCATTGGGGCATCTTAGAGAATGAGCTCAAATTTTTCCTTTTCCTCCACATGCTCCATCTTCACATCTATAGGACATTTAGGCTAAAGGAGCCATGGAGACTGTTCTTAGGCTAATGTAAATGGAGATAAGGGTTGCAACAGCATCTGTCACTTCATCCCCTTTTACATCAGACTAAGGAGGTAAACCAGACCTCCAAGCATTTCTTAACTCTGAGATTTTTGTTTTGTTTTAATTTTGGGAGTGTTTACATGACATATTCACTGATTTCTAAGAGGGACTTAAGCGTTTTCCCAGTCATATGCTCCCAACACTGTCCCGTTAACAAAGGGAGCTAGCGGTTTGAGATTCACAGTGCCCCAGGGATGAATATTGGTAAAACGGTTCCCAACAGGGAGAGACTCAAATGACAAGTTGCCAGGCGGTAGGCTAGCTGCCGCCAGTGGGTCTTACTGCCTGCCATTGCTGATGGGTATCTCCAGAGCCATTTCCCACTAAAATGGCACCCTTTGCCCCACTACCACCGCCTTAACAGCACTGCTCCACACTGGTCTGCTTGTTTCTGCCCCATGGCACCCCGGGTAGCCTTGCTTTTGCTTTTACCTTTCAGTTACAACAAAAAAAGGTTAAGAGTGCATTGCCTTCTGAGTTCTTTTAGATATCTGTTTTTATTGTTTTATTCTCTAGCTTACAGAGACTTAAATCCAACTTATATAGGATAAATTACTGAAAGCCTCTCCCAGTCCAGATGGTCCTCTTTCAATAAATTGTTTTAAAATGATTACCATGAGTGATTACAGTGCTTGCTTCCTACCTAAATTTTTTTTTAAAAGTGCTATAGACTTACACGAGATCAGGGAGACCCTATGGCAGAAGAATTTCTCCTCTTTCTATTTTATCTGGAACAACACGACCCTTCCCTATCCACCCCCCACCCCCACCCCCTCAAAGCCCAGGACCTGCAGGGAACTCTTAGCACTTATATAAAGGCAAGGGCCTGGCACTTTCTCATTAGCCATCACTTGTTCAAGCTACCTGAGACATGCTGGAGCCCTACACCCCTCTGCATGAGGCAAGAGGTTACTTTGGTTTACATAGCCACAAACAACAGGACCTTGAACATTGTGTAGTCCTTTTTTAGGTCCTATCTCTTCAGCTTCAGGTGCTGCTCACCTTGATCTGTCCTGCAGATAAGGATAGAAGGGAACTAGCCGCTATCTCTTAAAATGCAGCACTTCTCACCTTGATCTGTACTACAGACAAGTTTAAAAGAAAAGTGATATACTTCTCGGGATACCCTGGCTTGCCTCTCAGACAATTGGAGCAAGTTAAACCCTCAAAAGCTTAGGAAGATAATTTTAAACTTTGAAGCTTTTCTATAAATAATAATTTTTAAAAGGTCCACAAAAATTCCTTACATTGTTTTTAAGCTCAAAGATCAACAATTATAAGGACTAGCTAAACTGTATGTCTAATCAAAGTTCATTTATCAGACTGTTATAAAATTACTAAGTGCTCTTCTGGGTGTTCAGTGACTACACTTGGAGGCCTATACTGATGTAGTTAGAAGGATTAAATAGGAAATATTTCCCCCTTGTCTTCCCAGGTCAATTAGATCCCAGGGGACTGTGGAGCATCTCTTAAAATGTTCTATAACCATGGAGAGTCACCTGTTCTCTTGTTCAGGGAAGCCATGAAGATCCCACCTGGTAAATTCTAACCAGTGGTCCAGGATACAAAAGGAAGGCGCACAGAAGAAAATTCCCCTCATGCCTCCAAATAAAACAATGTTCAAATAAGGCCTTTGACTTATCCTGATATAGGTAAACTAACTGGTTAAAAATAAAAGGACTAAAGGGGCCAGAGGTTCCACCCAATCCCAAGTGACCCCTGAGAACCAGGTCTTCACAGTAAAAAAAAGTAATTAAATTTCACAACCTACATCACCTAAAACACCCAGCAGAAAAGAATAAGCAGGATTAACATTATCAGTATGCTTCTTTAATAGTCCAAAGGACTGCATTCCTCACACATTACTAGTTCTCACTGGTGATTCTCACAACTTCAATATGTCCCTGTACACCCTAATCCTTGGTAAGTTGCTGGAAAATATCCTATTACCAAAAACAAACAAACAAACAAAAAACCTGATGGGATTCCATTTCTCCTTTAAGTTGTCAATTAGAAACTGCCTTTAACTGACTTCTCTTCTGAAGCTTCCAGGTGTTTGTTCCTTACACAGGAGTCTGCGGAAACAAACAGCTGTTTATGCAGTTACTTACCCTTCTACACGGTCTGGTATGCAGTCCATTAAGCTGCACGATTACATTTCACCTTGCTAAACAAAAGTACGTTAAGCGTGATGTTGAGAAATTTTCATTAACTTTATCTCTTTATGTTCCCCACAAGGTTATAATAAAGGAGATCAAATGGCTGGCTTCTGAACTTATAGATTGTCAATAAGATGTCTCAAGCTCTTGAGCCAAACTAATAGCCTTACATCTTATAATAGACAATGATGACCAAAAAAAATCAGTCTTGCTAATACCTATGACAAAGCTGACAGAGGTTTTTATATGGTTTTCTTCTCTGTTCTCTTCCTACCATATGGCAAAATTTCTCCAACTATTTAAGACTTAAGCAAAAACTATAGTAATCCTAACAGTCTCACTTTCTGTATGTTACAGATGTCCTCTCACTCACATAGCACACTCCCAGGATGCACACTGTCATCACATGGCTGTCTTATGTCTGGATCTTTGCCATCTATTTAGTCTAATCATGGCCTATTAGATCAACTCTCCTCTGAGGCACTCAAAATGCTGCCCTTTCTACATCACCCCTTTTGATAGCTTGGAAGCAGTTAGAGCAGTCTGCACCACAAAACCCCTAACAGCAATTAGAGTGACCTCTGAGTGGGGATTGAGGGATTAGGAGTTAGACAGATTCCATGATAGGCAAGCAGGTAGGGAAAGAAGCCCTGACTAGGTAATTAAAAAAAAAAAAAGCCTGGTAGGCTTTTCTCCTGCAAGTAAGGCCCCCTGCTAATGGACAGGCTGATGACTTCAAGGCAAACCAGATGCCACAGCTGTGGGCCAATCAGTCAGTCATCCTGACCTTGTTCAAACTGACCAACCCTAAATTACGGGGAAAAGAATCTCTAAAAGCCTAGCCCTGGCCGGGTATAGTAGCATATACCTTTAACCCCAGCACTCAGGAGGCAAAGGCAGACAGATCTCTGTGAGTTGGAGGCCAGCATGGTCTATATAGTGTATTCCAGGGCAGCCAGACCTACACAGTAAGACCCTGTCTTGAAATAAAAGTAGCCCCAGAGGAGAGACTGGATTTTTCAGGCTCCCAAGTGCCGCCTTCAGTTTCTTCCCCACCCCCTCTGGGGCTGAGAACCGAACCCAGGGCCTTGTGCTTGCTAGGCAAGTGCTCTACCACTGAGCTAAATCCCCAACCTGTGCCCCCTCCAGTTTCTACAGGGTCTTTCTCTCTTTCTCTGTCTCGTTGCTGGGTGTGCCATTGCTTCTCAAATTGCTAACCAACCATCCCCATCCTGCTGCTGGTCTAGTTTACATTGGACTTTGAGTTCACCTCTAAAGATACTGGGGGACCCTCGAAACAGTAGGGAGGGCTTTCCTAAACAAGATAGAACTCTCATCTTTTGGCAAAATTTTGTAAAACTCGCTCCTCCCCAACATTTGCCCTAGGGACTTTAAGCCTACTTCATAAGGCCCCCCAATGTGTTCACAGACCCCCCCACTTCCCTATGTACAATCTTGTCAGTTCCCTCCAACTTTACCAATGCAAACTCACCGTCACCACCTTCACCCCAAGACTATCTGAACCACTTCATCCCAGATGGCCCTTCTGGCACTATCCGCCTAACTGGCCTTCCCATTTTCAATCTGACTGAGTCCTCTCTCGTTCCCAGTATTACTGAGGATGAGGAGAAAGATCTGACTTCCCTGCTCTAGGAAAATCCTTTCAAATACTTACCTACTACCCCGCTGTAGTCAAAGCTAAATCTGCTGCATCCATCAGCTCTTAAAAACCCCTTCATCTTCTGGTTTTTCCTCAATAT